CATGTTTTCAAATGGAGGGAAAATATTACATATTTTTGAAGGACAAAATGAATACAACAGATTGTGTGCTGGTATTACAAAATAATAGGAAAAAAATGAACAAAATAAACTTTGGAGTATAAAGAAAAAAGCCGTAATGCAATAGGCTGACATTAAAATGTTGATTAAAAAGCATTAAGAGGCAATGAATGTTCACAGATACACCATCATTGAATACTTATTACTGCTATTAGCAATTACCATCTACATGTAACAATTCACAGCACTTTGCAGTACTGTTAATTTTGTTGGATGGGACACTAGAACATAATATAATGCAGTATTTTTCATATTTGGAGAATGTATGAATTTATCCATAAATAGATTCATTTTTAAAAGCAAAATTACTATGGTTCATTTGTGCAGACTTAACTTTTTTTAGTATATATCAGGGGTCAGCAAACTTTTTCTGTAAAGGGACAGAGAGTAAATATTTTAGGTTTTGTGGGCCAAATGGTCTCTGTTGCAACTCTGTCACTCTAGCAACAAAGTGCAGGGACAATATGTAAACAAACAGACATGGCTATGTCCTAAGAAAACTTTATTTAAAAGTAGGTAGTTGGCCAGCACAATAGCTGTGGTTTGCTGACTCCTGGAATATATCAACAAAACTACCCTTAAAGCTTTTTACAATTTAAAACCAAATACATTCATATTGGTTCATATGATCTGATATGATTCCAATGAACACTTAAATTAATATAACTGATATTATTTTAGTAAAAAGAAATCTCTGCTTTCTGATAGCAAATGTGATATTAACTACTAAGGCAGAGATTTTCAGGTTTTATGATATATGTTCTACAATAATTCCATTCTCTCTTTACTTTTCTCTTCTTATAGTACTGTGAAATTAATGTACTATTTGGCTATTTCTGGCAAAGAAAGAACCACTTCTTATTAATAAGTACCTTTGTTCTTTTCTCAATTTAAAAATATCGACTCTTAACTATAAGAAAACCAGTATTACTAGTCACCAGTGTAATCTTAAACACAAATGCAAATTAAAGCAATGTTTTTATAAGACAATAAAGCAATAAGTACTAGCTGCATTAGCTCTATGACAGTACTGTTTTAAATGCTTTACATTTATTAACTCATTAATCCTCCAAATAAGCATTATACTCATTTTTAGAGAAAAGAACACTGATCCGCAGAGCTTAAATAATTTGTCCAAGGTAACACAGCTAGAAGCAGCAGACTGGTTCCACATTCTGTGTGCTCTTAACTGTCTTAATATAATAATTTGAATCAGCTTTTATCAACTTTTTAAATATTACTATGTAGACTTCTGGATTATGGCAAAGGAGTCTTGTTTAAAAGGCCATTATAAGTGATGAGAAAAATCAAAGAGATTGGAAAGTAACAGTTGCAAAGCCAAAGTTATGATAAAGGGATCCATAGAAACATTTATTCAGTTGTACCAACAATTTGTTATAAGACATAATGTTAGTAATGCCTTTCAATTTTTTTCAAATATATATCTGATAGTGCTATATCAGATATATACCACTATCTAGCTATGTTTCCTTATATAACAGAATATATGATAGTGAGCTATGCAAAGCATGATTTGCATTCACTTAGCAATGAATGGCCTGAAGTCTTGTCAAATCATTTCTGTACTGTAATGAAGGTGGACTATAGCAAATGACTTGAATGTATTCATGTCTATTGTGCAGTATCTATAACTCTGATATTCAGAGTTGAAGCTTACAGCAATATTGACTTATCTACTAAAATGTTCACTAAAATGCTAATGATGGAAAAAGGAATTGCTTGTGTAGAACCACAGCAAAGAAAGAAGACAATTCTTGGTGCAAAGATTTGTCTTTCATTAGTTTAGGAAGGGCTGCTTTCCTCATCAATAAAATAGACCACATAGCAATTCTATCCAAAAATTCTTCACTGAAATAATGAGTCACTTACTGAGATCACAAGGTATAATGTTAACAAATTTTACCCTACTTTTTGGTAATACAAATTACTGAGAAAATGTTATGATTGTGATTTTCTAAGTTAAAAATTTTGATCTACTACTAAAATGCTTCTGATTTTGTAAAACAGGTCATTTAAGAAAACAAAAATATAATGAATTTTGAATATACAGAATTACAGAGAATATAAAAAACTTCATATAACAAATTATTTTCAGTATAAGAGGTAATATCTATTAGTGATGTCATATAAAGTCAAATTTGAATATAATGAAACTAATCAAAGGGGTTGGGATACCTTAAAGTTAAGGAATTTAAAACTCTTGGCATGGGAGAATGGGTCTGGAGGAATTAACACTGTTAGAGGATGAGAGATAAAACTTCTATCCTGGGGGAAGCTGTAAAATACACTCAGCGATAACAATCTGTCAATGTACATGACATGTTGTAAATCATGGAGTTGGATCAACATTCTTTCCAAGAGTAGTGCTTGGGGAAAGTTTTTGAGTAGGAATAAACTATATTAACAATAGAAGTACACAGGAAATTAGATTTATTTTGTGGTTCAATTTGGTGAAATCCATGAACTATGTTAAGCAATGAATAATTAAACATAATGACAGAGATGATATTTTGGAAGGAAAATATATACATAAAAAACTGAATGGTAAAAACTAGCAAGCAAAGAATATTAACTGGTTAATGTAAACAAGAAAAAATTTACATTTTGGTGCTTAATAGTTTCTCGAAGTAAATTTGAAAGCAAGATTATAAAAGATTACATATTGTCTTCATATATCTGAACGGGAAGATGACTTAAAGCAGAGAAGAATTCTAAAGCTTAAAAAAATTCGGATCTTCTAATCCAGTCTCCGATGGTAGACAAAAAACCTTATCCTACTTAACACAGCTGCTTAGATACAAATGTCCAACCAACTGGCTCATTAAAAAAAAAAAAAAATGGCAGTGCCAGGTGAGGAGGGCAGTAGTTTCAATTAAAGCAGAGAAGGGAAGCATTAAGATTATAGAGGTAATAAAAAAAATCAAAAGACCAATGACAGGGACTATTGTGGCTTATTTTTGCATGGGCGCCATAGACCTTTTGCCAATTCATAGAGAAATGGCTCTAGATTTTTCACAAAATAACTCAAACTTAAAAAAAGAGAAAAAAGCCAGGAGTGGTGAGCACCTGTAGTTCCAGCTACTCAGGAGGCTGAGACAGGAGCACTGCTAGAGCCCAGGAGTTTGAAGCTATATTATACCAACTATCTTCATACCTGTGAATAGCCACTGCACTCCAGCCTGGGCAATAGAGTGAGACCCCATCTCTAAAAAAAAAGAGAAAAAAATTTTTCTCCCTAAATCTTCAAATGTGCCCATCTTAGATTATGTTGCATTGCCAAAGAAAATTAAAAACAAAATTTCAAAATAAAATTGATAGAGATGTGAAAACTTGGTGTACTAAAACTGGGATCTTTTCCCATAATCTCTTTTTAGCCAGCAAACATCAGTGCCACAAAGAAAACTGAATAACAATTTGGTAGTAACCTCTAAACAGTTAGTTTTAGTTATCTACTCATAGGTTTATAATTTCTCAGGGCCACATATCAGTGTGCTTTTTTCAATTAAAAAAACCACAGATGCAAAAGTAAAACATTTTAATGACCACATTCTTTAAACATTTGCCATGTTCGTTCCAAGTGCATTCTTTGGATACAACAACAAAAGTCAGATTAAAGTATTCTCACCCCAAACCTGCTAAAATTATATCTGATTTATGACAAAATTTTATACAGATATTTTAAGATACCAATATTTCATGGTATTAATACAAAAATAAACCTGACTTCTCAGAGAAATATTTACCTAGATAAATTCAAAAACCAGTGAACAATCAGAATGGGAGAACAGAAGGGTGAAGAAACAGACCAGGTGTGAGATATAAGCAAAAACTAATATTTGCAAACAGAAAGCTGCAAGGTAATGATAACATCCGTTAACTTGATTAATCTTGTTTTCACATCATGGTATCACTTATTAATGTCTCAATGAAATAGTAATTAAAACAATATAATAACATAGTCTCCCAAGTTGAATGAATGCAGGTAATTGGAACAAGAATTTCTTTTAACTTTTGCTTTTTCCAGAACTTCAGTTTGAAATAACTGAATTAATATATGGATTCATAAGAACACGATTTTTTTTGGCCTGAAGCAGCTACACATGAAGAGGAAGACTTTTCAGCAGTCCACTCCCCCAAAATTGAACTTTCATTCCCGTGAGTTTATAAATATGTTCTCTAGGAAAACTCACCACAAAAATCTCATGTTCTGGGGTCTTAAATCGTCGTAGTACATTAAAACTGTAAAGGATTTTCTGCATAAAGGATCCTTCACATCTTACAGGCCAAATATCCCTCTCGGAAACGACTTTAGAGAAAAAGGTTCCCTGGTTTGTGTATGTCTATGTATATACAAGAGAGGAAGAACAAATATGAGACAGGGAACTCACGTTTGCAGTACGGTTGTGTGGGCAGGGTGGTGTGTAATACTGAAGGAAATAAGGCTGCTGGTAGAGGAAGAGCTGCAGTTGATTCTCCAAAGGAAGATGAATAGATGCACCTGACATGATTCTAAGAAAGCTGTTTCCAAAGGATGGGAGTTTTGGGAAATAAGTTCTACCGCCACAGAATGAAACAGGTGATCGCTGGAATCCTAATGCTTAGCATGAGGGGCACATCCACATAATGCGTGAATGAATGAATGAAAGAACGCAGAGTAAAAGGAGCTTTGGCTTGGGGAAGGTAAGCGCCTGCAGAGGAGGTGGGGGGAGCGGGGAAAGCAAAGAAAACCGAGGGATAAGGCCGAACCCTTAGTGCCAGGAGAAGGGGAGATGGCTGCGGGTTTTGTGAGGGCACTGACCAGAGAGAACTCGGTGCCGGGCCAGTTGACTCGGAAAGGGATGTCATCGCTGAGTGGAGGGAGCGCTCGGCCGCCGCCGGACGCCTCCAGGAGGCCGCAAAGGACCAGTAACACCGGCCCACCGGGGACTAGATTTCGCACGCCGCCGCCTCCTTCCTCCATCCTCCGCTGCCGCTTTCTCCAGCCGCCACCAAACCTCCTCTGCCCAAAGAGGAGAGGAGCAGTAGGAGGAGTAGGAGGAGAAGGAGGCGGCGGGACTACAACGCTCCCAGGCAGCCGGGATCCCAACAACCGCCACGTCTCCTTCCGGAGAGCCCGGCAACGCCGCCTCCGCCCCCTTGGGTCTCCCGCCACCGTTTCCGGGGCATGCAGCATATCAACATCCGGGGCCGCAGAGCCGTCCGCCTACGGAAGCCGGGACGGTGGTCGTACTCCTCTTGTTTCCGACCACCGCAGCGTCGCTGTGGAGATCGAATGCTACGGCCTTCCGGAACACGACTCCCGGAGACCTGGTCTCAAACCAGCCAATTCGGCCGATAAGTGGCGGCGCGACGAGCCGGTGAGTCCCAGCGGCGGCGGCCGCTCCTTCCAGCCACCTGTGTGGCTCTCGAACGGGTGGGTGGCGGCTTTGCCCGTTCTGCTGTGAGAACCAGAGGAAGAAACGTGAGCCCATGGGGGTGCGGGACCTTAAATGAGAAAATTCGAGGTAGCGATGAGAAGTGAGAAGTGGAGGTGTTTTGACTTATCCTCTCGCTGTTTTTCTTTTTCCATTTCTCCGCATCCGGCATTTGTACACTTCATCTTTCCCGCCTTGAAGCTTCTCTCCACCTCTTCTGCTGTGGGCTGTGGTCATCTTAGCAGCTTCTGACTAATGCCGGGCAGTTTGTTTAGTCGCTGCAACCTTGTGTTGAGGGAACCCCGCAGTGAGGAGACCCGCCATCCCCCAATATGACAATACCGTGATCGTCCGAGGTTCGCATGGACGGACAATCTCATGGGGAGGGGCGCTACACATCACAGCCCCTACGTTTTTACCTCACGGGCTCCTCCATCCTTGGATTGAAGTGTTGAGCTGTTGTTTTATCAAGGAAACTGTTAAGTTTCTCTATGTGAGGTTGTTCATAAATCACGCCTGACTGCATTTCAAAATTAGACAAAAAGTTTTGGTTTCCCTTCCCCCTCCTTTTAAAAAAATGTCATTATCTGTTTTAAACAACAAAATAATGGGTTATAAATTGTTAGTCATAGAGCATTTATCATTCTCTTTCTGGGAGATGGGAAAAGCTAGACTGTCTTGCTCCATCTGTTAAAGACTGCTTGCCCTCCCTCCGCAAATTTGAACCAAATTGAAAAGCAGGAAGAG